TTGGGATTTGATGAGGAATTGTTTAAAGTTGTTTAGTTTTGATTTGGAGTTGTTGTTCAGATAAGTTATGTCTAATTTAGATTGGGGATCTTCACTCTTGTTCTCTCGTTTTTCTTTTAGCCTTCTCCTACATTAAACTGGAAAGAACTAATACTTACTAAATTTCTTACCTTTCTTATGGATTTACCTACAAACATTTTGATGTTGCTTCAAATTCCTAAGTTGGGATAAAAGTTTTTTTTTTTGGTTGGATAAAAGATTTGTAATTATTACTATGACGGTTCAATTACAAATAACATTATGACATGAATATGAGTAAAATTATCATTTATCCATAAATAATTATAAAATAATTATTTTTCAACAACACAAACCAAACAACCAATCAAATTATTCGGCTCAGTTGCTAATCAACAGATTATTTATATCAACTGCTAATCAACAGCTTATTAATAAACTACAACTGACCTTAAATAAACCCTTAATTATTTGTTGATAGAAAAAATATATGCAATATTCAAAATAATTAACTACTATTTTACATGCTCTTGCAATAATTGCTTTTTTTTTTGCTTGGATCTATTTGAAATTTTACATGAATTTAAAATTTTATTATAATGAAGGGGCATTTATAAATTTACATACATGCCATAAATTTAGGGTGCGTTTGAGACAGCTTGTACATTTAAGGATAAGTTACTTATCCTGAATCGCAGCCCGCAAGCGGGCCGCAAGGTTCAGCTCAAGGCCTGCGTTTAGTGTAAAAACTCAAACGCGATTTTTGATAAACTGGTGAAACGTGCGAACCAAACGGTACGACGGCGTTTTCAAAACACCGCCCGCACTTATTAGCTTGCCCCAAACTGGCCTTGATTATACATAAATTTAAAATTTGTGACCGTTCAAAAACATAAAGTTTACAAATACTTGATCTTATATAACAATAATGACATCAAATATATATTTATATTCTAAAAAATTACATAGAACATACATATTATTTATCAAAATATTACATTTCCGAAGTAAAATCTTTCTAATTGAGGAAGCAAGCAAATAAAGCCGAAAAAAAAAAAAAAGAGGCATTTACATAAAAAACAAAAGTTTAGAATGCTAGATATGTAAATTCATAAAAAATCAAGTGGTATATATGTAAATCTTCCCAAGAAAACAGAAAGTCTAGCACTAACTGAAAAGCAAGCAAATAACAAAATCCAAATATATAGAGATCAAGCAAGCAAGCATTACACCATCAAATCCCTCTTTTACATTTTGATCCCACAAAAATACATTTTCATATATGAACCACTGTAAGTAATATGCGCCTATTCAAAAACTCATACCAATTACATAAGATGAGCACATCTTTTTGCATAGATAAAAAATGGAGTGAATAGCTCAGAAACAGCAGAATACCATTTTCATTCATTTCTGCTCTGCAGCTTCAACTGGATGAACGATTTCAGCTTCCAACGGCTCAGTGGTATGAAACGGAGTAGATTGGCTCGGTGAGTCATGATAGTTTGCTTGAGAGGTTTCGCCCCACCGGCCTCCGAGCGCCATGCCCATCATCTCATAAATCTTTCCTCCGAGCTCCCCGGGGTTATCCGGCTGCAATACGCACCATTTAATCAGTGAGACATATTCTATGTGACGATCCATGCTATGTATGAAATCGCCACTAACGAAACGTACGCAGAACCTTAAGCATTGCTACTTACAAAATCTAGCACCGAGTTGATGCTTTTAAAAACATGCCACAAACAAATCATTGAGAATTTGATAAAAATAAACAATATCATGAATTTTGATATTTGAGCAAGTTTGTAAATAGCAATATTTCGAATGCTAGATTTGTAAAAGTGGATGAAAGAGGGTCCAGATTTGTAAATTGCAATATTTTGGATGCTAATTGCCCCTAACGATAAATTATTAGTTGTGTGAACTTGCATATCATAACTTATTGTTAGTATGGATTTGCTAAAGGTTTCTTATAGGTTCAATATTACAATTCCTTCCTAGGATTTGTTCTGTGGACAAAACCTAAGAAAGGGCTTTTAAAATTCAATATGGATGGTAGTTGGAATAATTAATTTATTGATATGAGAGGTGTGTGCAGGAACTATTCTAGTGCATATGTGTTGTGGTTTTATGCGTCGGTTATTGCTTCTTCACCTATTTGTGCAGAGAGGTTGAGGTGGTGATTACTACTTTGAACCTTGTTGTAAGATGTGGTTGTAATAAAATTGTATAGAAATGGATTCTTTGGAGCTGTGGAATTATTGTAATGTGAAAAATACGTATCCTTGGCATTTGATTATTCATATGAAAAAAAAAAATTGCTTTACTTGAGCATGTGCAGGTCCAGTGGTCGTTTATTCATCAAGAAGGAAATCAATGTGCTAATTGAGCTGCGAGAAGAGAATTGGATTCTCAGGTTGTTTAAAGGGGATTGTTTGAATATCCCTTTTATTCGTGCTAGTAATAGTTTCTAAGCTTTTTGTGTGAGTTGTATTATTGGCTAATGATTCTTAGGATTTTATTTGCTTTGTGTGAGACCGTATGTGTTTGGGGTTTAGTAGAACTATTGGCCACAACCTTATAATTATTTTTTTTGATGAAATAAAATTTCTTACTGAATTCATTAAAAAAAACATATCATAACTAAATGTAATGAGCATATAGGGGTGTCAAATTAGGTTGATGGGTAGAGTTCGGTTTGACCCAAAATTGACTCCACTTGAAATTGCTTATACCTGAACCCAACCTGAATATCAAGCAGATAAGAAAGTCCAACCAAAATCCAACCTACCAACCTGAACTCGACCCAAATAACATATTTAACAAAGGCATAAAGCCACTCAAGTCAACTTGGATGTAATCTATAGGTTCAATTCCGAGTTACTTAGGGGGGTTGGCAAGTCACCCAAACCCAACTTGAAAAAAATAAAAAGGGTTAAGGTATCTAACACGAACCCGACCTCAACAGAAAAATTATTCAAATCAACCAAAACCTAGATTTTTCGAGTTAACTTCAAGTCAAATTAGCATGTCGGGTAAATTTTTGGCCGACCGCCATATAAGTAAACGAGTATACACTTGGCTTATTCTTTTGGAGAGCAAAGCTTTGTATTGTCATGTACTCGTTGTATACTAAAATAGAAAGAGACAACTATGAAAACACAGATGTGTCTTCCCGACGTAGAGCTACATACGTAATTTGCACGTAATAATTTCTCGTAACCGTAGTGATATCATTTCAATAACACGGTAAGCCCGCCACAACTTGAATCATGCATTAAATTTTGGATCCAAAGCAGAGAGTGTGTGCGCGCGCGCGCGTTAAGTGTTCACAAAAAGGAAAGGAAAGCACATAAAAATAAGGGATGCATAATGGAACTCACTGTAAAGCCACTTGAAATCAGAGCGGTTTCATAAAGAAGATCAATTGCCCTGAGAGCATCAGGATCATCAGGGTAACTCTTACTAGCAACCTGTCAGAGATAATAATATTATGGAGTTACATAAAAACAAAAGGAGAAAAAATTTACATAAATACTACTCTATTCTTTAGGATATCCATATATAAACCTAAACTTCAATGTTTACATATATGCTACCTTATGTATGCATGAAAAGGAGTACTTCACTTATAAGAAATTGAAAAAGTGGCAATTTAATGTGTGATGTGAAAGTTCTGGGAAGAATAAATGTAAAAAAACAAAAGTTAAGGTGTTAGATATGTAAATACATAGGGGTTGGTTGGTATGTATGTAAATGCCTTAAAATAAAAGAAGTCAAGAACATAAAAAGGATTTCATCAACCAAAGTTCAATTCACCATATGTGATACACATCAGGAGATCATGCTAAGAATGGTTTTATTAGAAATAAAACTCGCCACTTCCAAATAAACCATAATTCAGAACCTGAAACTAAAAACTCATTATTTGAAAAGCCTGCCACATTTGCTAAATTTTGCAGTAAAAAAAGGGGAAATTTACATGCATACCGCACAATTCTTATGGATTTATATATATAGCACCTAAAGTTGGATTTTTACATTTATAACACCATTGTGCTATAAACCTACGCATAAAAGATGCATTTGACTTTTAAAAAAAGTTAGTTAAAATGGTATTTTTTGATGGGATGTTAAAAGACTTGAGTGCTAAGAATGTAAATCCTCAAGTTGGGATGTTAGATATGTAAATACTTATGTGTGGTATATATGTAGATGCCCAAAACAAATCTCATTAAATTTAGGATATTGTCTTCACTTCCAAAATTAAATAGGAAGATTGATATGTAGATGCCCAAAACAAATCTCATTAAATTTAAGTTATTGTCTTCACTTCCAAAATTGAATAGGAAGATTCACATACATATCCCTCAATTCCTATGTATTTACAAATCTAACACATACTTCAAATTTTACATGCAAAAAAGGAGTATTTTACATGTTAAAAGTTAAAATGGTGATATTTTTCATCTGATATAAAAGATTTGGATAGTCTAAATGTAAAAAATAAAATTTAGGTGTTTCAAATGTTAACAAATAGGAATGGAATGATATGTATAAAAATGCCCCAATAAAATAATCCAGAAAAAGAAGAACCTGAGGTTTATTTACAGATTAAGAGACTTACTTTCAGATTTTTAATAATTGGATGCTCGGGATTAATTTCAAAAACCCTTCTTGAGCGCATGAACTCAAGGCTAGAAGTATCTCCTAGGGTTTGTGCTTTCATTAACCTGCAAAACACCATGGATTAGCCTTCTGGAACTTCGATAGAGGGAGAAGATGATGAGAGAAGAGAATCATTCACCTCTCCATATTCGCCGACCAACCGAATTTTCCACTAACTAGAACGCATGGCGAGGAACTGAGGCGGTTCGAAATCTGAACACTCGCAACTTTCTCACCCAATCTTTTCTTTATCCAATCACAGGTCTGGATGAATTCTTGCTTGATTTCTTTCTCCTTCTCCTCGTCCTTATCACCTATGGCGGAAAAAAAGTGGAGAAATCTTAAAACAGATCCATAAAAAGGGGCATTTACATATATACCAGAACCTTACCTTTTACATTAATACCACTGAATCATTCATAGAATAGGTGGCATGTAAGTAAAAATTTAAGTTCAAATGTTACATTAAAAAAAAAAAAAAGTTGCTCACATACAAACAAAATCCAATGAAAAAAAGGAAATTTACATACATACCACAACTTTTTTTTCCAAAAACAAAATCCTAAAGTTTGATATAACACTTCGGTAGCATAATCATATCAAAACCTATACATTAAAAGGTGTTTTTAAATTAAAAAAGCTAGCATTAGTGTTATTTTTTCCGTGATGTTTTTGTAAGTGTTATATTTGAAATTATTAAAATTTCAGTGTTAGATATGTAATTACCTAAGGGATCGTTTAGTGCGTATGTAATCAGCTAGAAATTCTGCTAGAAAGTATATTGTTTGCACAGGATTGTGTAAAGGAATCATACACCTTTTAAGTTTTAACCGTTAGGGGATCGTTTAGTGCGTATGTAATCAGCTAGAAATTATGCTAGAAAGTATATTGTTTGCACAGGATTGTGTGAAGGAATCATACACCCTTTAAGTTTTAACCGTTATCATCACAAATTTGAATGGGCATTTACATACATACCATCCAAAATTTAAACAATCCTATGTATTTACGTATCTACACCTAAATTTTACATTTTTATATTTTATACCACTCAAATCTTTCAAATCACATCAAAAATACCACCATCTTAACTTCTAAGAAGTTAAATACACCTTTTATGCAATAGATAAAAGTGCATTCATGTAAAAAATGAAGTTTAAGTCAATTTTTAAGTCTTAGATATGTAAATACATAAGAATTGAGTGGTGTGCATGTAAATCATCCAAATTTGAATTAGTAGTAAGGATAAGACTTCTGAAAATGGTAGTGGTGGTAATTATCACACAGTGAAAATAAGTAACTCTTTACAAATATAATAATAATAAAACTGACCAAGATCTAAATCCTCCTTGCTGATATCAACAAAATTTTTTTCCTTGTAGGACTTCAGGTTCTGGATAGCAAGTTCGTCCATGGGGTCAACTAAGAATAGAACCTGCAACAAAGAACAAATTCATAAAAAACAGAATTAAGTTAAGAGTAAAGTGCCAAATTAGTCCCATTAAAAGTTGATAAGTGTTAAATTAGTCATCAAACTCTTTTAATGGAGGATAAAATAGTCCTCACTAAGGATTATTTCCATATTAATAGGGTCTAGGAACTACATTGATATTTTATAACTCTGGGATTAAAATAACCTCCTGCAAAAAGTCAGAGGATTGCATTAAGTAGTCGACAACAAGTGTAAAACTTTGTCTAAAAAATAATGATATGAATCATTTAAAGCATTGTGCAACTAATACAGCACAATGAAGAAAAAGGATTCATGTGGCCGGCCCCACTTAGTGGGATAAAAGCTTGTTGTTGTTGTTGTTGTTGTTGTTTTTGAAAGTGTCGGACAACCATTTAACTTAGTGGGATAAAAGCTTGTTGTTGTTGTTGTTTTTGAAAGTGTCGGACGACCATTTATAAACAATCTCATTAAGTTAATCAGAGAGCTCAAAATAATTTTGTCAAATAGAGAAACCCATTATAACGAGAAATTACTTCAAAATCCTTTTGAGAAAGTTTCTCAAGAAAAGGAGCATTCTTTGCGCTTGTCAAGCTGTCCGACGCGATATAGTAGATATCTTTCTGATCTTGCTTCATACTCTCCACATATTCGTCTAAGCTGATCAGCTCTTCCTCACTTTGAGACGAGAAAAATCTGAGAAGTGGCGCAATGCGCTTGTGGTTTGGATGATCTTCAATGCATCCCAATTTTAAAAATTTGCCGAAATTGTCCCAGAATTTATCATAATCCTGAAGGCATTACAGAGCAAACCACAGAAATTCTTGGTGCATTAAAATGCAACCAGAAAATATAATTCAAATGAGTATGATTAGCTTTAGTTTAAGAAAAAAATTAAAGACTTACATCTCTGTTTTCGCTAAGAGAAATTCCCAATATCATATCAAATGCCTTGCGAACTAACCGTTTCCTCATTATTCGTACCTAGGCATGTCGAAGAATGAATTATGACATGGTAAATACACAAAAAAAATATTACCCATTTACTACATACCATTCAATTTTTATGTAATTTACATATCCAACAGCTAAACTTCAATTTTTGCATACATACCACGTTACCTATGTATGAAAAGGTGTATTTCACTTCTTAAAGATTAAGAAAGTTGATTTTTTTTATGAGAAATGAAAGTTTTGGGTGGTACAAATGTAAAAAAACAAAGTTTAGGTACTATATATGTAAATAAATAGCAATTGGGGGGTAAGTATGCAAATGCCCCAATAAAAATAATGTTGGTATACTTACGATGCGGCTTTCTTGAAGAATCTCGCGCGAGACATTCAGAGGAAGGTCATTTGAATCCACGACGCCTTTCACGAAACTCAAATATCTCGGGAACTATTCATATAGATAAAATTTGTTTAACAGACTAATGATAAAATATAACGAGTGTTACGCAGACAAAATTCGCTCACCAGTTCCCCATCAAAGTCATCTGATATGAATACGCGTTTAACATAAAGCCTTATGTTCTTTGTTTTATTATTCAACATATCCTCCTTTTTCACAGCAGGTACAAACAAAATGGATCTGAACTCCACTTCTCCCTGCAATAAAAAGAACTCGGTTAGATGAGCTTACAAAAACAACTTGTCACAGATCACAGAACTCGCTTAAATTTTACATGCAAGGCTTATTCATAAAAGCCATTGTCTTCTTTAAAAATGACTGAACATTGCTTTGCTATTCACAATAAAATATTGGAAAATTTACGTACATACCACATAATTCTTATGCATTTACATATTTAACACCTAAAGTTTGATGTTTATCCTTACAACACTTTGGTGTCATAAAACCTATGCATGAAAAGGTGTATTCTACTTTCAAATAGTTAATAAATAGGGTAGTATTTTTCACGTGATTTTAAATATTTGAGTGTTACGCATGTAAATATGAAATTTTAGATGTCAAGATACATAAATACATAAGAACTGTGTGGCATGTATGTAAATGCCCCTAAATTATTTCATGAAAGTCACAGGTATTAATTTGTAAATATGAATGGTTGCAGGGGCATATGCTACCATTTAAGCAAAAGAAAAATATCATTAAACAAGATAATTAAATTATATTAATACATACATAAAATTCTGCAATAAGAATGTATTATATGTAATTATGTATGGTCGGATGTATCAACTAATGGAGATGTGAGATGTTTTCAAGATTAAATTTAGAAAATTAAGTCCTAAATTAAGTTGTATTTCTGAATTTTAGAAATGATATTATTTCTTCTAACCCAAATGCATCCAATGATACTTATTCAACACATCATTAATGTGAAATCAATCAAGATTTTATTTTTTTTATTAAATGCATTGGCCGTGTTGCAATGAATGCTATAATCATCTCAACATCCTAAGTTATTCATTTTATATACAATTTATTATAGAAAATAATTTAATCAAATGAAAAAAAAAATTTATATGGGAGAGATTGTATGTATATGTAGACTAATAGAATTTATCCTCACATGATACCAACTGGAATACTAAGGTACTCTAGCAAACAAAGAAGGATAATATTGAAATTAAAATTCATAAATGGGACAATTTAAACAGTTCTCATATGATGGGTGTAATATATAAAAACGAAACGGAAAATATAAGGTTTCTTCTAATTCGTCTAATTGACTATTCAAATACTCTTAAGTTAACACTGTTAGATAAGAAGTGCCGAATAATTTTATATTGATTTATTTTAACAAGCATTCATGTTGCCTTCTAAATTCTATTATTATTATTATTATTATTATTATTATTATTATTATTATTATTATTATTATTATTATTATTATATATATAAATCAAAATTTTAGAACACCTTGAGGAATAAGTTAGCAAACCTTTTAGATTAATGACATTTTCGTTGTATTAAATGTTGACATTTTGAGATTATTTATGAATTTTTAAATTGATATTAACCTTCGAGTTTGTAGATATAAATTAAGCCCCGTTTGATCATCATATGTTCCCGCATGGGTAATTCTAAGCTCCCGAGATAGGTCGCGATAAGTTAAAAATATATCATTAACTTAAATTTAGATGAAATTTGTGCACATACATATGAAACGAGAATCATTAGTCCTATCATTTCAAACTAAAGAGCCAATTTTTTTCAATTCAAAATGTCAACACTAAAAAGGATAATGCTCCATCCCCCATAGCACTACAACAATGAAACATAACTTTGATCTCATATAAGTAGTTTTTAGTTAATTGAATATCTAAAAAACTTAAATGCTTCGGGTTCTCAATTTGAATCCATAAAGCAAAAAAAAAACAAAACAATTAAGTTCTACAAAATCAACTTGAAAGAGATTTGAGTGTAAATATTTGGAGAGCAAACCAACTTAAGCTTGGAAGAAAATCTAACCTCAAATAATTATCTATTATATATTTTGATACACTGTGCAATAATTAATGCACATGTTGTTTCAACAATCCTTGCTATCCTAAATTTTTTATAACAGTTTTTTACGCCTATGGAAAAACAATAGACTTTCCTTCTTGCTAATGACAAAATAGTGCTCTATAAAGTAAAACTAATAGTTCAACAATCCTTGCTATCCTAAATTTTTTATAACAATTTTCTACGCCTATGGAAAAACAATAGACTTTCCTTCGTGCTAATGACAAAATAGTGCTCTGTAAAGTAAAACCAATAAACTAATAGTTTGTTTGTAGGCAACATAATAGTTTCAGTGCAAAGCAAAGTAAAAATTTTAGGGGCATTTACATACATAGCACTCAATTCTTATGTACTTACACAACTAACCCCTAAACTTTAATTTTTACGTTCATACCACGTCAAAAATATCAATATTTTAACTCTTAAAAAGTGTAATACATCTTTTTGGGGGCATATACATAAAAATTGAACTTTGGATGTTAGATATGCAAATAAATACGAATTTAATGGTTTTATATAAATCTTCCAAAAGTTTAACCAAAAAGAGTAACATAAGAGGCACCTCTGTCGTAAAATGCGAAGAAGCCAAAGGATCGACATATTCATTGAACGTCTTCTTGTAGAATTCATTGTAATCATCTGTAGTGACATCTTTAGGGCTACGAAGCTGAAAAAACATGCAAGCATGAGAGCATAACTTTGCTTGTCAAGACAAACAAGAGTATATTAATCGGAGATTAGACACTGAACGAGCACTTACCCATATAGGTTGGGTCTCATTTATAAGTTCCCAATCCCAATATTTCTCAATAACCTTTTTAGTCTTCTTTTTCTTCTGCAGGTCAAAATGTATTTTTAATCATTCTTTATGCAATTTTATTAAAATCTATGGATCAAAAAATCAAAGTAGAATTCTGTTATCAGTACCTCAACATTACCATCTTCTTCAGCATCCTTCTGAGCTTCTGTTGGCTCCTCATCAATCTCAACCTGCAACATAACATTAGTATACTCTAGTAAAAGCTTCACACGAAAAATAAATAAGAGGCTTTTACATAAATTGCACACAATTCTTACGTATTTACATATCTCGCACCAAAACTTTCATATTTACACCAATAGCACTCAAATTTGTAATACTTATATAAAAAATAGCACTATTACCCCTTTTCATGAAAGTGAAATAGCATTTAAAGTGTTATGTATGAAAATCTGAAAGCATAAGTGTGAAATATTTAAATAGAATTGTATGCTGCATCTGTAAATTATCCAATAAATGATTTGTGAAGTTCCAAAAGCATTTAGGAACCACGAGAAAACTTGAACAAATAGCAAAATATCAATACAAACCTCTTTAGTGAAACCTTTCTCTTTCCAAGTATAAATTGGGAAGGAAACAAACTGAGAATAATTCTTTATAAGGTTTTCGATCCTCTCCGGATGAGCAAATCCCTTATCATCGCGCTGATGTCAGAATAAATCAAAATAAACATCAAGACAAACTTTAAAGAACTCACAAAACTTAGATATTACAAAATCATGCTGCTGCAAACCTTGAGATACAATGTAATGCGAGTTCCTCTTGGGATAAGCTTATCCTGATCAGTCTCCTCCCTTATTGTATAGGAGTTAGCATTAGCTTCTCCTTCCCAGACAAATTGCCTGTCCGATTTTGGACTTTTTGTTGAAACGACTACCTGTTCATAAAATTAAAACAGATTGTAAGATCATCGAGTTGATAGCAATGTTTGGATGGGAATCGGTGCACATGGACTGTCAGTTTTAAGACATACAAAAGCAATGATCATATTAAATTAATGGGTGTTTAAATACATTGCACACAATTCTTACGTATTTACATATCTCACACCTAGGCTGTCATATTTGCACGCAAAGCAAAGTGCTATATACATAAATATGAAAATTTAGGTGTGAGAAGTAAATACATAAGAATTGTGTGCTACCTATAAATTTTCCCTAATATTAATGACATAAAGAGGCTAACAAAAAATAGCTCCTGTGGGATTACAATTTGCCTTGCAAAACATTAAAATCCAGTTAAAAAGAAGAGATGCAAAGAATGAGAATACCTTGTCAGCAACAAGGAAGGCCGAGTAAAATCCCACCCCAAATTGGCCAATTAAATTGCTGTCAGCACCAGCTTCCTTACTATCCTGTAAAAGAAAATCTATCCGTTCTAAAACACATTCAAAGTTGAGGATATCTGCATAAATTTAGAAGGATAAAAAAGTTGCTTTTTCTGATATTCACAACCTTCAAAGCCTTGAAAAACTTCGCTGTTCCGCTCTGAGCAATAGTTCCAAGGCAATCAACAAGCTCTTGCCTCGTCATGCCGATTCCAGAATCACTGGAAAGTTAAGTAAAATTCCAGATAATTACAAGTGTAAATATCAAACTAAGGATGTTATATATGTAAATATATGAGAATCGTATGTTATGTATGTAAATTTTCCCAAAAGAAAAGCAATGATTGCCGCATTGACAGAAACTATTTAGACTCACGTCAAAGTTATTATTCCATTGTCCTTGTCAGTTTGAATCCGAATGTTGAGATCGACAGCATCTTTCAAGAGTTCGGGCTGAGTAACACTCAAATAACGCAACTTGTCGAGAGCGTCGCTTGCATTACTGTTACAAGAAAATTCATTGCAATAAGTACCTTCATTGGAGATAATGAATTGCATGGATTTTAGAAGGTGATATGAATATCATGTTAAAAATGAAATAGCACCAAAAGAAATACTATGAAAATACTCTTACCTTTTGGGAATGTTTATATGCATACCACTCAATTCCAATGCATTTACATATCCAACACCTAAACTTCAATTTTGACATATATAACATCTTTCCTATGCGAGGCGAGGGACATTTCACTTTTTAAAAACTAAAAAAGTGTTCTTTTTGATGTGATATGATCTATTTAGTGGACTGAATGTAAAAAAGCATAGCTTTTTTGTGTAAGATATGTAAATACAAAGGAATTGGGTGACGTGTATGTAAAATGTAAATGACCCACCATTTTATGTGCTTACACTTACCTAGTGTGATAATGCTCAGGAAACAACTTCAATTATTCAAGGGATAAAAGGATGATGACAAATCACTCTTAAAATGCAATCTATGTTATCATAATGGAGTAAGAATATATTAATGTAGAAGTCCCTCAATAGTTGGAACAAAGAAATTAGGGGCATTACATACATACCACCCAATTTTTATGTATTTACATATTAACACATATAATTTTGCATTTTACATTTGTACCACCAATTGTTTTCATATTACATCAAAAATACCACTGTTTAAACTTTTATAAACTGAAATACACCTTTTCATACATAGAGAAGGAGACAAATATGTAAAAATTGAAGTTTAGGCTGTCAGTACATGGGAATTGATTGATATGCATGTAAATTTTCCAAAAAAACTTAAAAGATTGAGTTTTATGAAGAAGCTAGAATCATTATTAAAGCATTCAAGGACTTACAGACCTAATCAGCTCCCGTAGAAACACTTCTTTGTTGCTATATAAACTATGAACTATGAGATCCATGAGGCGACTAACCTATAAAACAGAAGATTATCAAATCAACAACTTTTACCAAAATAGCACTGACTTACCCGGTGATGAATCAGATAGAAGAGTGAAATGCCTATCTGACTCAAAAAATTGCACAAAAAAGTACTATATTTATTGCTTTAGCTCAGACGGCATACCTCAGCCTGGTACTCAAATTTCTCTGCTGGAGGTATTCCATCGGAAGAATCAATGGCAGTAGCAGTAGATTCATACTGCCTACCAACAAGATTGCTATTTAGGGCCGCTGATAATCCCAACTGAGAAGCTTTGGATGCAGATAGAATAGAAAACAAGCGAAAGGAGGATGGGAGATATCTGGATTCATGCTCCCAAACCTGGGAAAATTATAAGAAATAAATAAAACCAGAAATGTCACAGTTAAGAGATAATATAAGTATTAAATATGAACGAAAATGTGTCCTTTTTAGTTAAGAAAAAAATGTAATCAATAAAAAGCATGCTTTTTTAAGATGCCTTGTAGAAAAATCATACTTTTCTGCAGTTATTATCGATGTGCAAGTCAGATTTTAACCATAAAAGAAAAGGAAGATATACATGCATACAACTCTATACATATGTATTTATATATATCTAACATCTAAACTTCAATTTTTTACATACATTCCACCGTGAAAAAGTGCATTTCACCATTAAATATTAAAATGGTGGTACTTTTTATGTGATATGAAAGAAATGGGTGGTGCAAATGTAAAAAAGCAAAAGTTAGGAATTATATATGTAAATTCATAGGAACTGAGTCGTATGTATGTAAATGCCCCAAAATAAATCATAGGAAGCTTTCAAGGCAGGGATTTTTAAATTTGCTGAAACTACATGTAAGCATGAAGATAAAGGAGAATGCTTTGAGCCTCCAATACAATCGTTTCCAATGTGTGAAAGAACGAATTATATTAATAACGGTGTTCGCAAGACAATGGACCAGGATTAGTCTCTCTCTTCTTTAATTTTTTAACTCTGTTTCTTAAACATGTGAGAATCGCCGCTGAGTGCTGAAAATTGAAAATCTTCAATCATTTTTTTTTTTTTCCTCAAATATTTCATGTTGAATTGTTTGAAGAGCTTTCGATGAATATCAATGCCAGGCCGATGATTCTCTTTTGTTAAAAATACAGTTATGGTTTCTCAGTGCTAAGAAATTGGCAGACTTTAATCCCCTTTTCAAACATCAAGTAATTGTGGCAAAAGGCTGAATGTTTCCAAAAGATTTTAATGGAGATCAATACCGAGCCACCCAAATCACGATTTCAATTTATGAAGAAAGTAAAGAAGAATATGAAGAAGAGCGGATTTTACCGAGTTCTGAGCTGAGGGGAACAGAGAGTGGTGTGGTGAGGCCAAGAGAGCCGGCCAGCTTTGATGCGCGCAAACACATGAGCGCACCGCCGCAGAAAGCGATCGCCGGGAAGCGCCGAGCATTCTTCCGTCGAGATCCTCTCCTGCACTCCGTCACTCGATTCGTTGGGTCGGCTCTGTAGGGCTTAGGGTTTAAGAAGGGTTACCGCGACACGCTGAAGCTTCTGGAGCTGGTTTCAACGGCAAATCATCACAGCCGTTCAATGAGACTGATGAATCAAAAATGATAAATAATATATAAATACTTAAATATGTCTAATAATTAAATCTTTACAATATTTTGTATAATGTATGATAAGCGATCAATAACTTCTAATCATCTAAAACTTTGATTTCAACAAACATATTGTTGAATTCACGGTTTCAACGTGATGAATTCAATAATATTAAAGTTGGTTTAATCTGACTTAACTCATGTCAATATCATGTCATTAAATTATTTTTTAAAGCTTTCAATGTATAGTTGGAGGTCAACCAGATTTCAAATGTTACATGCTTATACTATAATGGATCATCTCAGCGAGATAAATTTAAAGAGCTTAATATCACTCAATTCTAACATTATTAAGACACTCAAATATTCTTTAAATGTAGTTTGATTGGAAGAATTTCTCTAAGTTATTTGATACAGTTATCTGAATTCTTTCCTTATTTAAAGAAATGTCTCTCTCATACTCTATAAATGGAGTTTGACCTCTCTCCTAAAAGGGGGCATAGATTTGGAGTTATAAGAATATCAAACATCTGATAAGAAGATGAAGCTCAACATCATTTTTGCAACGAAAACCGACAAATTCCTCTAGCTTTCGCGTCTACCGACCTCTGTCGCCCACATCTACCACTGTCGATCACCCTCTTTCATCGACCACAATTGGTTGCACCTGCTCCTTGCAGTGAACTCCCTTGTGGAGTCACAACATGCACTGCAAAATCACAATGTATGTTTTGCAGTGCATGTTGCGGAACAATGAAGTGCGCGCTGGAGCAATACGACATTAAATATACAGTGCAAACGACACTCCCCAATAATGGTGCAACACAATGTGATTTACATATGGTGCAATTATTCCTCCCAAAGATGATGCAGTGATACACCTCGAAGATGATATTATATGGACTTCTAAAGCTTTCTTTTCACAGCTCACTACTATGCTTACGTGGCTTGCATGTAGTGTTGTCCTCAACTCTGACCTCTACATCTTATGAACAACATCACAACTCACCAATATGACCTACATGACAAAATACGACCTATGTGATTCATGGTTTGTGTAGCTCATAACTCGGGTCTCAGCGGTCAGCTATTACAGCTCTCAACTTAGGCATTTGCATTCTACAAGCATTATCATAGCTTATGCAGTTCCCAACTACTACATTTTTAAACTAAAGGCATTGTCACAACTAGTGTAACTCTCACTTACGGCATCTACGACCTACATATGTCATCACAACTCCTAAGTAAAGCCTATGCAGCACACATATGTCATCACAGTTCACCACTATAACACATGTGACCAACTACGACATATGTGGCTTACAAATCATGCAACTCCCGACTCCTGCCACTACAGTCTATGAATGTCATTACAACTCACCACTAAGATCTAAATTACTAATTATGGCCTATGCAATCCACAACTCATATAATTCCCAATTATGACCTCTATAACCTATCGATGTTATCACAACTCATCATTACGCCCAAGGTAATCAACTACAACCTATGTGACTCACAACTCATGCAACTTCCTACTACGACTTCTATGGCCAACCGATGCTTCGGAAACAACCATCTGCTACCCACATAACTAACAACTACCACTACTTTCAATTACAACTTACACGGCTAACTGGTGCTACAACTACCATCCACAATATTTACGGTAGATTACTGCCTCCATAACAATCGCCCATAACCCATGCAACCTACTATCATCGAGAGCAACATTCATTACAATTAGAATACGACTATTATCGATGAACTATTATTGTTCATTTTGCAACGATCAATTTCGGGCCTTTATCTTTCCTAATTCAGGAGAATGGGACATGTGTACTCATCATTCATATATATTTATTTCAACTTGAGCTAGACCTCGTAGTTTTCTCCTATTTTCAAGATTTTTCACATAAAAATTGATGTCTTCTTCTGCTTACTTCCCTTTAATCACCTGAGCATGTGTTAGATTTTTGTGCAGTGCAGAGTTGATAAATAATTAGTCCACCGTCATGGACATTCGAGATGCATCAATGCATTAATGTTGCAACATATCAAAATATAAGAAATTATAAGATAAAAAACACGCATGAAAATATTTTTTTAATATTATTTTAAAATCCAAATGTTATCTACATAAATATACAAGTTAAAATATTGGCGTGCTCTTTAGGGCGCGGCGTAGTGTCTTGTTAGGGGTTTGTTGACTTCAAAATGGCCTATACGGCTATACATTAGCTTAGGCGTAGCACCATGAGCATTGGGGCACCAAACTTTAAAGTGAAGATGACCTCCATATGTTATGTTCTATCTGCATACCACATATATAAAGACAAAGAAAGCACAAACAAACATAAAAAATAGCACCAAAAGTCAAATTAAGATCAATTTAAAAATGAGTTGAAGTCAAACAAAAGTTTATTTGTCCGTGTCAGGCTCGTTTTGATCAAATTAATTAAAATAGATAAATGTTTATATTGTATTTAAGAAATAGTAGATTTTATTATTATTATTTTTTAAAAGGTTTGACAATATAATTATAAAAAAATATTAATTTTTATGTTAAATATGTAAATACATAAGATTATGCTGCCATGCATGCATATACTCAAAAAAAAAAATTGATGCATATGGTAATATATGGTTACCATAAGAGGGGGAACTGCATAATTATAATATTTTTTTGTCCCACATCGGGAAAGAGGTGCATTGATATGAAAAAAGTCTATAAAATTCAATAAACTCTTCAATATAACCAAAAAGAAAAAAAAAAAAAGAATGATGTCCTAATTTTGGATTTGGTTTAGTAAAAATAATTATTTCTTAATTTAAAATATGTTAAATAATTATAATTTTAGGGTGCCTTTTGAGGTAGTTTATGAGCTTAAGGGTAAATTGCATATTCTGAATCGTGGCCCGCAAACGGGCTTAAGATACAATGAAACTTGTATTTAGGGCCCGTTTGAGGCAGCTTATTTGGTGTGGTTGCTGTTCTGTTTGGGTAAACTATGTTTTGGAACTTATGCGTTTTCAAAACATTGAAAACAGTATTTTCACACTGCACCTATCTATAGGTGCGGTGACAGCTTTCTGACAGTGAACTGACTTTTTCTATAAAATAAAAATTTGTAATAGTCATCGCATCTAATTTATTAATAAATTATTTTTAATTAATTTATTAACAAATTATACAATAAATTGAAACTCGCTCAAAATAGTGTAAGCATTTCCAAAACGCCACGTATTGGTAACGGCTGAACTCTCTAAGCATTAGAGTTTCGTATACGACACTTTCTCTCGATCTCAGCTATGCCCTCCACCGATCTTCTTTCTTGTTTCTCAACAATGCCCCATTCTGAATTTCGCCGATCCACCATGGAATTGTAAGTTTTGATTCAATCACTTTGCCTTTATTATGCTGATCTCTGAATCACTGTCGTTAATCTTTTCTCTTATACCGATCGCTTAATTATTATGAATTTTTTCCGGAGGTTTCTCGAGATGTTTCAGTGATTGTAAGTTCGCTGCATTTATGATTCTCTTAGATTCAAACTATTTTGCTTTTTCAGTTTTGCGATCGCCGCAGTGCGATTTTAGCTCGAGATTATACTTTTGTTTTATGAAGAGACGATCTGGGTTGTGAAAATTTGTGAGAAGATGCCGGGGGACGATTACTATGAACGACCCTTGTTTGGGGGAGCAATATCGAGCTGCTTTCCGCTAAGATTTCAGGTGGTTTCACTATTTTGATGCGTTTATCTATCTTTTTCGACTGGTGGATCGATGATGGCTGATTGTTTTGTTGATCAGGATGTGAGTGAAGTGAGAGAAGTTCCCGATTATCAGGTTTTAGGGATTCTCTTCTTCCTGACCTAAAATTTGATCGTTATTTAACTTCTATTAATATTTATTTTTGTTGATCGTCTTGTCTTCTTTCTATTTGTAAAGGAGGCGTTTGCGGATTCCAGCAGCGATGAAACCCTAATTTTTGAGCTTTTGGATTTCAAAGGCGAGATTGAAGACAATGCCAGTGCCGTTTGGTTTCTTCGGGACATTGCTCGTGAACAGGATGCAGAAGATAGCATGGTAAGAAGTAGATAATGAAAGTCTTTTTTCGCCATACTTAGAATAATACTAGTTCAGAAAATTGCAAGTTTTTCAGAATTTTCCTTCAAAAAACTATGTATTGGCTTATTGGATGCTTTTGTTATTTCTTAGGGAAATTTATATACATGGCACACAGTTCTATGTATTTACACATCTCATACCTAAAATTTGGTATTTACATATATATCTAGCACTTTGGTACTTTAAAGTTATAAATGAAAATGTGTAATTAACTTTCAAAACATGGTAATAGTGTTAATTTTGATGTGATATTAAATATTTGAGTGTTTTGTGTGATATGTATGCAAATGCCCTATTTAAACCTATGAATGAAAATGTGTAATTGACTTTGAAAAAAATGATAGTAGGGCTATTATTTATGTGATATTAAAGATTCGAGTGTTCTTTGTGTAAATATGAAAGTTTAGGCTTGAGATATGTAAATACATAATAATTATGTGCTATGTACGTAAATGCCCCTATTTAAACCTATGAATGAAAATGTGTGATTGATTTTTAAAAAATGGTGATACCAAAGACTCAAGTGTTCTGCATTTAAATATGAAAGTTTAGGTGTGAGATGTAAATACATAAGAATTTTGTGCTATGCATGTAAATGCCCCAATTTCTTTGGACAGTCCAATGTGTCTTTTTAATGCAGTAAAATTCTAAAATAGTCTCTTGACTATTTACATGGAGTCTTTTTAATTCTCAAGAGTATAATAAAAATGGCAAATTAGTCCCTTGACTTTTTTAATATTGGCTGAAATAAACCCCAAGGAGGACTATATTCGCCCCCTTTAAAAGGAAAAACTTTTCTGTGCGGACTCTTGACGTAGCTCTACGTGCGGCGCAGGGTATTCCTAAGTTATTTTCAGGTTATTTCTGGGTTATTTTCAATAATCTCGAAATATCCCAGAAATAACCTGCGGTTTTTATTTTTGAGTTATTTCTGAGTTATTTCGGCATTATTAAAAATAACCCAGAAGTAACCTAAAAATAACTCAGGACGAACCTGCACCGCACGTAGAGGTACGTCAGGTGTCCGGACAGAAAATGCGCCCCTTTAAAAGAGTTTGAAACTAAATTAACACTTTTACAGATTCTGGGACTAAAATGATACTTGACAGAGTTACATTAAGGCTAATGATGGTGATTATTTTATTGATTTAGCCTTTTATTTGTTAAGTAAAAAATTAATTAGGAAGTTTACTTACATACCACTCAATTCCTACGCATTTACCTATCTAAGTCCATGCCGTCTTACCTATGCATGAAAAAGATTTATCTCACTTTTGAAATGTTATAATGATGGTATTTTTGATGTAATATGAAATATTTGGGAGTATAAATGTAATAAAGCAAAATTTAGGTCTTAGATATGTAAATACATAAGAATTGAGTGGTATTCATATTGATGCCCCAGATAATTAATACTGTTAATGCCTATCTCATCTGTTCTTGCTTATGAGTAAATCATCCAACTCATTTTATATAAATAAGATAATTCCACTTTATTTTTTTCATTTCTGTACGCATTTGTGCTGCTTAAACATTATTTTCAATGTTTTTAAAATTATGTTAATTTATTTTTAGAAGCAAAAGATAAAAATATATTAAAAATACATTAAGTAAAATATATTTTTAAAAATGAATAAAAAATATTAACAAAAATAAAAATTAAATTAGATCCCGAAAAAGCCCTAAGAGAATGGACTTCAGTGTAAGCTCTTTTTCTTTCCACTGCAAGCAGGTCCAAGAACACTCAGGAACAATAGAAGTTGCTGGCTTACAATATAGAGATGGTCCTGTAATATATCAAACAGCAGTTGGTCAAATGGTAAGTTTGTTGTTATTTTTTCTATCGGGACATTCACATGCATACCACACAATTTTTAAGTATTTACATATCTGACACCTAAACATTCATATTTACATGCATACCACATCGAAAATATCACAATCACTACTTTTTTAAAAGTGATATACACCTTTTTTTACATAGGTTTATGACATCAATGTGTTATAAGTGCATATATCAAATCTTGGATGTTAGATAGGTAAATACATAAGAATTTTGAGGTATGTATGTAAATTTCCCTTTACTTTGGGCATTTAAATGCATACCACAAATTCTTAAGTATTTAGATATCTAACACCAGAACATTCATTTTCAAGTGCATACAATTTAAATCTTTAACATCACATAAAAAATACCGCCATCACTAATTTTTAAAAGGTGAAATACACCTTTTAATGCATATATTTATGACTCCAATGTATTATAAGTGTAAATATTAAACTTTGGATGTTAGATAGGTAATACATAAGATAACTATGGTGATATTAATCAAACCGGTTAAGGTTTTCTTAATACCAATGTATTTACGTATTAGCAACTAAAGTTTGATTTTTATATTTATACAGCCCGAATCATTCATATCACATAAAAAAGAATGCTTGCTTTAAACTTATAAAAAGTGAAATACATCTTTTCATGCATAGGAAAGTTGTTATATATGTAAATGCATAGGAATAGAGTTGTATGTAGGTAAATCTTCCTTTTTTTTCTTATACCAGTTTAATTTGGAGTTATTAAGACCATCTCTTGTTGATGTGCGGTTACTATTTCTTCTCTTCTTTTCCATCATTACAGACCATTTCCAAAGACAGCCAAGGAATGGAGGCACAAAAAAGTGTGCGGGTAAGTTTGTTGCTGCTATTTTTGTTAAAAAAGGTTGAGGAATTCTATTAAAATCTCTTTATATGAAGGTTTATCTGGCAAATTTGCGTCTCAAGGAATTTGGCACTGATGTGCTGATTACTGCATATGAGCAAATTTTAGACAAGTAAGGCTCGACCTCAAAAACTGTTTCTTTGATATTTGTGGTTAAGCTAGTCTGCATTTTATCTCATTGCCTCCCCCATTTAATCTGAAACTGGACTTGAAATCCATATGTAGCTTTGCTACTCTAAATATTAAAACTTGTTTGGGGGACAGCTGCAACTTTATAGAAGTGTTTGTACAGCTGCCATTGAGAAATTGATTTTTTTGAAAGTTGTTGTGTGTTTGTGTGTGTGTCTATATATATATATATATAATTTTTTTTTTTTTGAATGCACAATGGTACGATGAATATCCAAACAAAATAAGATTTTACAACATATGAACAAAATGCTAAGAACAGGTTCAGAATTGATAAAAACACATGCACCATACTACACAAAAAACCTTTCCCTCCACCCTGCCTTGAAAATACAATTAGATTGATTGGTGATCGGCAGGCGAATTATCTTTATCCTTAGTATCGTGTTGAAATCTTACAGCAATACATGTTATGTTGTCTGCACTTCCATGAGAGAAAGCAGTCTCAGTCAACTTCGTCAGCCTCTGATTCTTCTTTTGTTCTTGCGAGAGAAATTGCATCGTCATTTGGTACAAAATCCCATAATCCATCACTAGCCAGAACCAAGAGGTCCAAGTCTTCACCAACTTCTTCTTCCTGAATCTCAGGCTCTGCCACTACATATTGCTTTAGCAGGCGATTACCAAAGGCACGTGACATTGCAAGCACACCTCCAACTCTCCAAGTGCCTGCCCACATAACAACTCCTCCCGCATCCTCAATTCTCTTGCGCTCATCACTTTTATTTGGCTTGTGGTCGTCAGAAAGAGGTATAGCTTTGCCTGCTTTTGAAATAACAGTACGTGAATCTCCAACATTAGCTACATATAAACGTTTGCCAACTAGAACTGCAGTTGAAGCTGTAGAACCATCATCTCTGAAAGTATTACTTTCAGAATCTAGGAAGTCGGTATCAGTTTTTTTATAAGTCTCACATATAGCCCTTTTTGTGTCAGTTAAAACTCTGGATGCTTAAGAAGGTTTTCAAATAAGGCTCCTTCAAAAGTTCTGCTTCACGCGAACCACGATGACCGTCAAATATTCCAAAGAGATCAACAGTTTGCCCATCTATTGTGGAGCTCCTTATGTCAAAGAAGTCCTCCATGCTTGCTCTCTTTCCTCTAAAGCTCGAGTATCCACAACTCAATCTAGCATCCTCACTTTTCCAACCTCCGCTAACATAATCTACCTCGCTGTCTTCATCACAGTCCTCTGGAAAGGTATTAGAGACGGCTCCAGTATCCAGCGTTGTGCCCGACGTGGCCATCAGCGTTCCGATAGTACTGAACCTAATTTTTCTGTGGAAGGTTCACTCGCAGTTTTGCATCCAGATCCCACAAAAAAAAAACAATCTGGCTTTTCCTTCCCGAAGATGAGGAGCGCCACAAATGTCCAGTCCGCACGATAAAACTTGGCAGACTAGCAATGCATACCATCTGATAAAATCGATCAACGTTAGCAAATGACTCAAGACAACAAATCCAAATAATCCATAGGGTTCGGAATTCGAAAAGTTATTCACAGTTCAAACTTGATCGCTGCCGCTAGCCGTGGTCTGTTAGTAGAGCAGCTTCTCTGAAGGTTGTAAGTCCCCTTAGGTAACGGGTTCGAATCTCTCTTTGGCCAGTTTGCCGGTAGTGAGGGCGGTCCTCGAATAGTTAGGCAGATGAGGGTGGCTGGGGGCTCGTATAATAGACTCCTGTCATTCTTTTTTTAATACATATATATATATATATTGGAAAAGCGCACAACTCTTTTACAACTACCGTTCAGCAGAATAAATGCATCTTCAAAATAGGCAATTTAAGTAGTTGTGAAGTTGTTAAATATTTTGTAAAGGATCAAGTGGTGTGCATTAAGCACACCTTGGATTGATTAGTATAAATGTGTGGGCAAATTTATGAAGTATAACTTTAAGCATTAAAGTAGAAGTGTAAAATGAAACTTAGGAGCACTATGCAATAAAATAATATCATAAAAATATGTATATTTGATAGAGCTCATTAAAATTATCATGTTATATCGAATTTAGAATTAGATAAAGAAATCATTGATAACTAAGTTCATTGAGGTAGATCGTAATGAATTATTTTGTGGTTTAAATTGTGAAAGATGTACTTAGACATTAGAAATGAGTATCTTAGAGCGAAGTGGGAAGCAGATTCGTTGAAGATAAGATAGCGAATAAATTGACGAAAGGTAGAAGATGCACAAATAAGAATAGTTTGATAGAAATTAGGGGTATTTACATTAGTAAACAATTCTTATGTATTTACATATCTCACAGCTAAACTTTCATATTTACACACATAACACTTAAATCTTTAATATCACATTAAAAATAGCACTATTACCACTTCTTAAAAGTGAAATATACATTTTCATGCATAGGTTTAGAGTACCAAAGTGTCATGTATGTAAATGCAAAAGTTTAGGTTTGAGATATGAAAATACATTAGAATTGTGTGCTACGTATTTACGGAAAGCTGCATATGTAAATTTACCTAGAAATTAAGCAAAGAAAATTCCTGCGAAGTGGAGATTTTTGAGATTTATCAGATGAAAATAAATAAGAATTTGATTATTTTTCATATAATGAAATTCAGAAACCCTAAAAATTTATGTTCTTGTTCTAATTACAGTTCCTTAAGTGAGACTGGAAGCATTGAGGAAGCTGACCCAACAGTTTCTGGCAGCCTATCTGTTGCAGAAGTCTTTAAACTATCAGCCGCAAGCTTTAAGGTACTTGACTGGAATCTCTTTGGTGCTGGGGCTTGACTAATCATTTAATATGATTTTAGGAAGTATTGGTTAAGGAAATATTTACATATTATTTTAATATGATTTTAAGAATTATTTGACTGTAATTTATTTATTTTTAGATAGAGAAGGTTTATCTAAAACTGTGGCTTATCTGTATTCTGTTCACTATAATTATTTTACAGGCAATGAAACAGGAAGGATTTGTCTTGTATTATAATTTTTTTACCAGAATTTCAGGAAATTATGAGTTTGGTATGAAAAATTACAGATAGAATGTAACATATGAATGAATTTGAAGTTCACACCTTCGATCATTTGGGATGAATTTAGAATTGGGCCGATTTGATTGAATTTGAGTTACACGGTAAAACACTGGTAAAATGCTGCCTCACTGAGGCCCAAAGTCATGATACTCTAATAATAATTCTATTTAAAATTGTAATGAATAACACAATCAACCAAGACAATGCACATACATAAAGTTTATGGGCATTAGCATCTTGAGTTATTTACATGTATATCATATAATTCTTATGTATTTATACATATAACACTTTCAAGATTGTAAGTCCCCTCAGTTTTGACCTGTTAGAGCAGTCTCTTTGAAGGTCGTAAGTACCCTCAGGTCATTCGTTCGAATCTCCTTGAGGGGGTTCGTATAATTATCTTCGGCCATTCTTTTGAAATACATATATATATATATATATATTATTGTATTGTATAGTTCATGAACATATGATAATTAAACCTTCATCAAATTTTTATTTTTTTGTCATGTAAAATTTATATATTTTGAACTTTATGAAGTTTTCTGTTGAAATTTAAATTAATTTTTAGGAAATTTAATATTACATGTATATAGCATCTAAGCTCTTTTTAAATTCATATTTTTGACAAATATTAAAAATAATTTTCTCTTAATTTTTTATGATTTTAAAATATAAAATTTTACGTGTTTAGAACGGATAATATTATGAAATTTTATAATTTATTATAAAATTCAATGGAGTTTTCACCAAAATAAAAATTATTTGTACATGTCTAGAAAGTAGAGGGTGTTAATGATTGGAGCTCGAGCAGCCCTCAATTTAAGGTTAAACTTAATTAGTTGATCAAGTTCAAATTTATGCTCCAGCTTAAGTCTATGAGTTAGAACCGATTATTTTATATTAAAAAGAGAAAAGATAATATTAATTCAGTTAATATTATAATAAAATGATAAATAAATTGAGCAATTTAAAAATATATGATAAGAAAATATTTGATATAAAATAGAAAATATACATTTTTAAATATTAATAATTTATAAATAAAGTTTTGAATTTTAAAAAATTTTGAGTGTGTATATATATATATATATATATATATATTTTATATAAGC